CCATTTCTAGTTAGGGTCCCACGTTCTTCTCATGCTCTTCTGTCTTGATGGTCTTAGGGTTCTAGCAACTCTGAAATTTTTCTCTGCTTTTGATTGTTTCTTCCTCTTCTGGAATTCCAAGTGATTCCAATCATAAGTTCTCTTAGTGATGTCCCACATAAAATCTCAGGCTTTTTTCCAATTTTTTTCATTTTTTCTGTTTTTTCTTCTAGCTTACTTCTTGTTGTTAAGTGCCGTTGAGTCGATTCCGACCCATAGCGACCCTGCATAGGGTTTCCAAGGCTGTAAATCTTTACAAGAGCAGAAAGCCTCATCTTTCTCACACGGAACAGCTGGTAGTTTCGAACTACTGACCTTGCGGTACACAGCCCAATTTGTAACCACTACGCTACCAGAACTCCTTCTAGCTTACTAGTATTGATAAATTTATCTTCAAGATTACGAATTTGAGTTTGCACTGATTAAGACCTACTTCTTTTTCCTTCAATCTATTTCTGAGATTTTAGTATTAACCTGAATTTCTACTTGCAGGTTTTGTATTGTTTCAAAATTTGCGTTTATTTTGCCTGTTTAGTGTTTTCCTAAATTCTTCTAATTTTTTTCTGTGTTCTCCTTGCTTCCCTCAGTCTGTCCATCCATTGAAGGTACCTAAATATTCTTTTGACTTCCTTTTCACTTCATCCTGTTTCCTTTTCTTCCTCAGAAATGTTTTCTGGTTCTTCATTTTGGTCATTTATTCACGTCATTTTCTTTTGTTTCTTTGTGTGAACTAAAATGATCTGTTGTCTCCACAGCATTGTGGGGTTGTCATGTTTGTATTTAATTCATCATCGTTTGTTGATGTGTCCTTAGGCTCTGTCTCCTTTTCCATCATGTCTTAGGCTCTCACTGTCTCTTTTTCCATCATGGCTTAGGTTCTCACTGTCTCCTTTTCCATATGAATCTGCTTTGCCAGGCCACCTTCTGTTGCCAAAGTTGCTCACAAGATGGTCATGCCGTATCTGGCCAGCCATTCACCAGTCTTCCTTGTTCTCTGTTCATGCTTATCTTTTTCTCCCAGGAAGCACTCAATCCACTTACTATCCTTTCCTCTCATGTTCAGGGTTCTAGGATTTTCATCTATGTCTGTTTCATTTGGGCTCTCGTATCTTTGTTGTAGAGGGTCCATGTAGTGTACCTGCCTAGTCCACCATCTTGCTGGAGGTCCTTGTTGGTGTGTTCTGTCTTCTGGTAGGTGTGATTAGAGAATGAAAGTTGTGTACACCATTTTCTGTTCACCATTTGTGCAGCTCAATTTAGGGTGGGTTTGGCTGATTTGGGCTGGTGTCTGTCACTGATCAGGTGGTGTAGGAGCTGGTATTGGCTCTCAACCTGTGATTGAGTTGTATGGGCACAGTTGCTGTTTCCCATTGGGTGGGGCAAGAAGGGAAAGCACACATAGGAAAACAAAACAGAACAAGCAATCAGCAGTGAAAACAGAGTAAAATAAAGGGAAAAAAAGAAACAAAATTGGGCGGCAACAACAACAACAAGAATGTAATAACCAAAAAGAGCAAAGAGGAACGGAAAATAGCACTGTAAAAGAGAAAAATAAGAGACAATAAAAGGAAGGGGCGGGGTGTGTGTGGAAAAACAGAGTAACATGAAAAGAGAAAGATCCTAGAGTCATAAAGAAGAACCAAGCATTGACAAAGAAGAGGGTGGACATGAGAAAACGAAAGCAGAGATGATGCCGTTGAGTCGATTCTGACCCATAGCATATAGGGTTTCCAGAGAGTAGCTGGTGAGCTTGAACTGCTGACCTTGCAATTCAAACGGCTTTACAGTCTGGCACGTTAACCCACAGCACCACACCAGGAGATAGAAAGGATAAAAATCAAGGGATGGAAAGGAGAAGGAAAAGAAAGAATAAACAAAAACAACAAAAGGAAAAATAGACAAAAAAAACAATGCAGATGTTGGACCCAGAGATGAGAAAACTCCCTGGGGCTCCTGCCAGTCAAGGAGCTCATGAGGTGGGTGGAGGAGGAATGTAAGAAGTAAGTTCCCAGCCCTGGATATAGTTCCTATAAGCCTGTTGTTAGGTGCCATTAAGCTGGTTCCAACCCATAACACCCCATGAACAACATAGTTTTAGCTGTTGTCTATGTTCAGGGTACCCAATTCAGAAGTAGTTCATAGAGGCCCTTCAGGTTGCTAGTTTCAGTGTGTGTCAGTACCAGAAGGTAGCTGGGGGCAGGGTAACTGATTATGAGAGTTCCTGCATGTCTAATTCTGGCCTGGAGGCTGTGTGGGTTTTGTAGGTCTGGAGCAGTTTGCCTGAATCCAGACACCAAAGCAGTGCAGCCAGCATTTAACTCTCATTGCTCACAACCAGGAGGCTCAGAACTCCTGGAGAGCAGAGTTTGCATTGGTGGTAGTCTCCTGGGGAGTGAGGAGCACACCTTTTCCTTCACCCATGTTACTCCGCCATCAGGCTGTAGTCAGTCTCTCACCAAAGCTACTTGCAAAAGTTCAAGGTAGTCTCGCCACATCATGTCTGGTCTGCAATCCATCCACCACCTATCAGTCTCCATTAGCTGTCCCTCCTCATCTGCTCCTCCCAGTAGATATTCACTCTACTTTTCTAACCTTTCCTCTGAAGCTCAGGGTACTAGGATTGTCTATTTTTTTTAGTCTCTGTTATCTTTAGGGGCCTTGTGTACCGACTCTGCCATTTTTCTGGGATTCTGTATGTTTTGTTTTGAATCTAAACCTGGATGACAGTTTTCAGATGTATGTGGGGCTAATGATGATTGTCAGAGAAAAAGAAGACCCCCCAGTGAGATGGATTGGCAAAGTGGCAGCATCATTGGGCGCAAGTGTGGCAACAATAGTGAGGTTGACCCAGGATCGGGCAGTGATTCGTTCTGCTGTGCATAGTCACTGAGTCAGCACCGACTCGATGGCAACCTAACAACAACGATCATAATGGAGTCGAATCTGTTCTAAGTAAACTGGTTTGTGTCGTCTCTCTAATCATAATGTATTGAATTAAAAATAAAAATTCATAATTCCATAATGATGTTTTTAAAAAGAGAAAGACAAAGGAAATGCCATCTTCATTGAAAACTGCTAGAATGTAAAAATCACCACTGTGGGTATTCCAGCGTAACTAATTTAGGCAAGGATTATCAGTAGATGCTAAAACCATTGGGGGAAAGGTTGCAAGGAAACAAACAAGTAAGTCATACAGTCTCAAAGTCTTAAAACACAGATTATTATTTTCAGAGCGAAAAAATGTTACTTTAAAATGAAGATGTTTGAAGGTTAACGGGCTTTAACATCTATGTGGAGTCATCAATGTGATATTCCTGCCAAAACCCTCAAATCTCATAAGGAAACCAGTTAACTCAGAATTGTAATGATGGGCAAGATGTAGCCTAGAGGATTCAAAGTAAAAGACAGAGGGAAGCAGTAGGTCTGTTATAAAAGTGACCACCAAACCATCCCTGCCACAGCCCTCTCTACTCAGCTTGGTTCAATAACTCATTGCAGTGGCACACAGCATGTGGACACTCTAGTCACAGTTAAGGAGTTTATTAGGGAACTTAGCAGGTTACTATTCAGGGTCAGGATAGCCTCTCAGCCATGTTCTTGGCCCTCTACCCTGCTCTGGCAATGTTACATAGCTCTTTTAGGGCAACTGTTACGAATCGGGCTGCGAACCTTAAGGTCAGCGGTTCGAAACTACCAGCTGCTCCGCGAGAGAAAGATGAGGCTTTCTACTCCCTTAAAGATTTACACCCTCGGAAACCCTATACAGGGTCGCTATGGGTTGGAAACGACTCGATGGCACATAACAACAATCAATGCCCATAGGACACACTTCATGAAAGCCTTAGCCTGAAGGCACTTGGCTCTGGCTCCCCAATTGAGTGCATGGAAACATCCCACTCAACAAGTGAGCTTCCTAACTAAAGGCAGTTAGCTTTATTTGCTCCAGGGGCTAAGAAGGTCACCACTGTCTGATGCTCAGGCTCTTAAGGCTCCTGACTCCTGTGCTACTTACTCCTAGGGTATCCTAGCTTTCTGTCCCTGGGTTGAGGAGATTCAGTGTACAGGAATCTCAGGGTCCAAAGGATGCACTGTACTCCTGTTGCAGCCTTTGATGGTAGTGCAATCCCTTCCTACTTCTGAGATGGCTTATTTCAATACCCATATTCGAGCTCTAGGTTTTCCCAATTACAATGAACTCTTAAGTTATTCACAACTGAAACACATCATCAGTATCTTCTCCCACTTTCTCTTACCCAGACCCATTAGGAAAGTCATTTGATGTAAGTTAAATTCTAAAACTAGAAAAGACATTAATTTACACCACAGTCTACACTGGGGAAAGAGACAAAACAGCCAAATCCCATGTTAGAACTTTCACTGAACCTTGGGATTGGAGGTGGTGGGTGAGGGTCAGAGGTGGTGTAAAACAGGTTTGAGACAATTGGGGACATTTGATGTCATTGAATTGACCTGAAGTATGGTAATGGTTTTGTGGTTGTTAGCATGTTACTGTTCTTCACAGATGCATGTTGAAATGTTTAGGGTTATAGCCTGTCTTTGATTAGGCAAACAGGACTATATGTGCGTCTATGTGATCTAGCTGTACAAGAGAGGTGTGCAGCCAGTTTAGCAGGCCTTTAACAGTGAACCTGGGTGAGAGGGAGATGGGTGTTCATTGTACTATTGTTCCTAAGTTTGAACTTTCTCAAAATTAAAAAAAAAAAAAATTTATTGGCCACAAAGGAGTTCTGGTGTGACGCTGTAGGATAAGCACTGGACTATAAGGTTGCTGCTTCAAACCCACCAGCGGCTCCTTAGAAACCCTATACAGGGTCTCTGAGTCAGAACTCACTCAAGGGCACTAACAAGGAGACCTTTCATTTTCACAACTGACAGGGAGTTTGAATAACCACTAAGCAGGGGCTGAGACTCTGAGATAACTTGCTCCTTTTTTTTTTAAGGTTCAAGAAATCCATGGTGCGAGCTTTAGATTCCTATGAAGAAAAAGAGGATGAAGTGATCAAAGAGGCAAGTTAAAGACAAGGCCTTGGCAGACCCAGTCCCCATGATCCTATATTCCATCTAAACATCATCTTTTCTGCAGATGGCAGCTCAGATCCGGGAGGTGGAGAACAGCCGGCAGGAAATGGTTCGGTCTGTGTTAGAGGTTGGTTTCCCTTGGAGGATCCAGAGCAGTATCCAAATCCACCGGTCCCTGGCTCACCCAGCTCTTCTAAGAGAATTCATGGACTCAATTCTTTATCTGCTTGGAATCCCAAAAATACCTTCCCTGCCCATTAGGGGCAGGCCTCAGTGGAAAAGACATGGGGCAAGGCTGGGAGAAAGGGAGGGAAGAATTTGCAACGTGGGCAGCACTATTTCTTATGATACTGAGGTCTAGAGGGTGGGGCTTGGTCTAAGTAGGCACTTAAGCATCCTAGACACATTTATTTTTCCTGAAACCAAATCAGCCTCAGGCAGTGCCAGACCCAGAAGAGGGCTGTTCAAAACCTACAAGCTGGGAAGAGAGAAACAGGTAAGATGGTTTGGCAATCTCCTTGGGAGTTTGATGTTTCAATGTAAAGAGCTTTCTCTAAACTCTAGACAAGTCTTTTATCTGCTCTCCTCACAAAACTGGTGAGCTTCTTTTACTCTGGTCCAAGGACCTCATCTTGCCAGCCTGGCTTCCTCTCCTTTTTCAGACAAATATCTTCAAACTCACAGCAGCCCTCAGACCTGGACATGCCACCAACTTCAGAGCTTGACTGGATGAAGCCAGGACAACCCCTGACATTCATTGACCATCAGGTACAATGGATAATAAGCAGGCAAAGGCCAATAACCCCTCTTCCCAGAGTACCCCTTTTCCTTGTTTTCTACATACTTCCTGAGCTACTTCTGTCTCCTCTGCAGGCATTTTCCTTTCCTGTTATGTTCCTTTCTGGGTTCTCAGATCTCTTCTCTCACTCTTACATACAGATCTTGTTCTCTGCAGCTGTTCTAGCTGTATACACAACACTGATACTTAAGACATACTAGAGACATCTGAAACTAACCTTCACGACTCCTGTATTTCTAGTCACTGTAGATGGAGATCCTTTTCCCTCATTTTTCATCTTCTACAACAACCTGTCAATGAGTATGCATCAGTTTTCCTTGTAATACATGAAGTCTGCCTCTGTACAGTTTCGGGATGATCTCTTACCCCAACGGTCACATCACCTGCCATCTCCTATCTGTACGCCAGCCAGTGACTGTGCTTCTCCCTGACTGCATATGTAGTTGCTGTTGCCTTGAATATGCTTTCCTTTCCTCATCACTTTAACTCTCAACTGCCTTAGCTGTCAGTTCAACTGTCCCTTTCTCATGGAAGGCTTATCTGAATAGGTCATCTCACCATTGTAAATAGCTATTAAAACAATTAAACATCACTGCACTCTGAATGCCTCCTTATAAATGGAAGCTGTTAAGGGTAATCAAGTCAGTTCCCATTCATAATGACCCTCTGTAGGGTTTCCAAGGAGCAGCTAGTGGGTTTGAACCACTGACTTTATGTCACACCATAAGCCCTATGAACAAGCATGTGGTTAAATGCCATTGAGCCCGTTCTGATTCATAGTGACCCTGTATAAGGTTTCCAAAGAGCAGCTAATGCACTTGAACTGCCAGCCTTGTGGTTCAAACCACCTTTGCAGTCCAGTCTTATCCTACAGCGCCACACCCTGTAAAGTGTGGAAATGTTATTAATTCATATGTAATTGTCTTTCCCCACTAGGTAGCTTTGAGTGCAGAATTTTGATTTGACATTTGTAGTGACTCTAGGACTCTGGTGTGGCCCTGTAGTATCAGCACTGGACTGTGAATGACAAGGTGTCGGCAGTTCAAACCCACCAGCTGCTCTTCGGAAACCCCATCATACAGGGTCTTTATGAGGCTGAAGTGACAGTATGACTCTTGTTTTGGACAGCTCCACTATTAAGAACATGAGCCTCTTGAAGACAAGACTGTCCTTGTTACGTATTTCTAATATCAACCAGATAGGCAGAACTGGCATTTGTGGTAGTGATTGTACCAGCCTCCTTGAAAGTGTTTTCTCTAGCTCTGAATATCCTATCATCTCTTGGCTTTCACTTTTTTTCTTCCTATTTTCAATTATAGGACATACCAGGAGTTGGCAATATCCACTCAGGTAAGGCCCATTTCTCAAAGTGGCTGTTAAACTTTTTAGAACCTGTATCCAGAATACAGGTTATAACTTTATATAAACATATGAAAAGATGCCATCAGATGCAGAAAAAAATACAAATTAAAATCATTGAAATACATTACATACTTAGTTACATGCCATCGAGTCTGTTCCGCCCCATAGCAACCTTGTATAGGGTTTCCAAGGAGCAGCTGGTGAGCTTGAACTACCAACTTTGCAGTTCAAACAGCTTTTGCACTCTGGCACATTAACCCACAGTGCCACAATAGGACTCCACATTCTTAATAGAGCAATTAAAAATATTTGAAAACTTGAAAGTATCAAATGTTCAAAAATGATGTAGAGAAACTGGAACTCATATACTGCTGATAGGAATGTAAAAAAAAATGTAAAATGGTACAGCCACTCAGGGAAACTAGCTGTAATAGCAGTTATTACACACCCATCTTAAATGAATCCAGCCATTTCATTCCTTGTAATTTATCCAAGATAAAAAGCACATCTATTCAATCTTGTATACAAATCTTGATTTATGAACAATGGCATAATCTCTAACAATGAAAAACGAGTGAAGCATTGATAGAAGCAACACAGATTAAGTCTCAATTACACTAAAAGCCAGACCAAAACAGAGGTACGGATGGCAAATTTATATAAAATGCAAATTATAGAGATGATCACTGGTTGTCTAGAATTTGTGGAGTGACAACAAAGGATTTCAGTGGAGCACAAGCATAATTATCTTCACCGTAGTAAGAGCTTCATAGGTGTTTACATTTTAAGTATGTGCATTTTGTGTCACTATTTTAACACATTAGAATATGTCAGCTACATTGCTTTAAATTAGCCTAGGGTACCTCAACTTCATGTTTATTCCTGGGTTTTGCCTTACCACTTCTCAATTAGGATAAGGGTCATATATTACAATAACCTAGAAGTTTAAAAAAAAAAAAAAAAGACTACCTAATTTCTGCTCATTGGGTCTTCCCTTTTTCCCTTCCCAGGTGCTACACCTCCCTGGATGGTCCAAGATGAAGAACACGATTCTGAGAGCCAACAAATAGGGCCCTCCTATGAAGAGTTTCTTAAACAAAGTAAGTAAACAAATTTTAGAAAGGCAATGAATTCTTTAAATTTTCCCATTCAAATAAGATTGTTTCCTTATTACTGTAGAAGAAAAAGAGAAATTGAAGAAGCTTCCCCCAGAACGAGTCGGGGCCAACTTTGATCACAGCTCCAGCACAAATGCATGCTGGCTGCCCTCATTTGGCCGAGTCTGGAACAATGGACGCCGCTGGCAGTCAAGGTATAGAATAGAACCAGCCCCAGAACCCCAAATGACTGCTCCTTTGAAAATCCCTCCCTTCATTCTCTCTTATTTCCTTTCAGGCATCAATTCAAAACAGAAGCAAGGAACAAACAGCAGTCACGCAAAGAAAAAACCTAATAGATTCTCCATATTCTAGACTTAAAGCCAAGTCAACACAGCCCTACTACCTCAGTACTATCATTCCTCCCACCAAATCCTTTCAATTGTCTTTGTTAGTAATCAGACATACCCATTCTTTTGGTTTAATAAAGGTTTATTTTTCAAAATGTACAGTTGGTTGGACCTGTAAAAAAAAGGAAAGAAGAATCAGGACCAGAGTGCTTTGTAAACATGCTTCATATACCATGTACTCCTCCTGGGATTCCTTCTCACCTGTTCATGCATCTTCACCAGCAGCTGGGGCATCCCCTCCCTTTGTGTTTCTGGTGTAAATTACTTGAGCTCTGTGTTTTGAAACCAGCTTGATAAGTCCTAGGAAAGAAAATATAAAGTCTTCACATAGTATCAAGATTAGATATTTATTCCTGCCAAAATCGACTTAAGTTGTATAGTTCAAATGTTCAACTTCTACTCTTATAATAACATAAAAATCATTACTTCCATATATTAGCCACTATAGATTAAGCTTAAATAGTTATACTTATTGCTAATGAAGAGAATTAGACCCACCAATCAATTTTAAGTATCTGTTTACAATGGTTTGTTATTTTGATAAGTATATTTAAATCAGGTGGCCTCTATAATTCTATATATTTTATGCACTTGAAAACGTAAGATTGAGATCGTTATCACCAACAACCAATGATTTCACTACTCTGAAAATTCCCAACAAGGTAGCTAGGATAATTTTACAAAGACATGCTAGTTCAAACTGTCAGTCAAGCAATAGATGGGTTTAATGAGAGTAGCATGGGGGCACAACAACACTAGCAAGTAGTATGGCTCACCATAGAATGGTCATTCAACTATAAAAGGGCATCATATGCCTGAAGAACAAAGATGGGAATGTGGGTGGAGAGGGCTCCAGCAGGTTAACTGTTATTGCATGGTAAATATAATTTGTTGAGTGTAAAGCTTCACTCAGTTCACACACACACACACACACAAAAAAAATTTTTCCCCCAAAAGAAAATTTCACAGTATAACACCCTCTCACCTTTACTAAGCAGCTCCTGAAGTGCTGCCCTGGCTAGGGAACCGCGAATCTTCAGTCTCTCAGAGACAACAGCTGGTGTTATGAGTTTATAGTTGGGAACTTCCTTACAGAGCTTGTCATATGTGGCTTTGTCAAACAAGACCAGGTTATTAAGCTTGTCCCGAACTTTCCCTTTGGACCACTTCTGCTCATAAAAACAAAAATGTCAGTTCTCTGGCACAAACACACTCCCCCTCCCAAGCAACCTGTGTCCTTTCTGGAAAAAAAACGGGCTCCAGTGAGTGGCTGTGTACACAGGCCTACATCTCCCTCAACTAACCAGCCACTCCCTGGAAAGCCTATACAGGGTCAGTATATGAGTTGGAAAAGACTTGACACTAACAACATAAGGACTCCTGGTCTGGAGCTCAGCAGTTCAAACCCACCAGCTGCTCCTTGGGAACCATATACACAGTGTCACTATCAGAACCACTCGATGGCACTTTACAAGGAAAAGGAGATCTTAGCCACTGTTAATTGTTAACAAAGCTAGCTTAGAGGTTTGGGGATATACTGAGCGCCAAGAGGCTAATCAACCAAATGCCAGAAATTGGGGCAACGCTTAGTCCACCGAATTTTAACGCTATTAAATAGTGTTGCCAGTTCATACTCCAAATGAAACAGATTTACAGCAGATAAGTACGTAACTTCAAAACCTTAAACTACTTGATACTATTAAGTGCCGTCCAACTCGCAGCGACCCTGTGTAGGGCTTCCGAGGGACTGGGACTGCAAGTTACTTGATTACAATACAGCGCGGCAGACATCCCCGGTCTCCCTCCCTCAGAAGCGCTCAACTCCTACCTTCTTTTTGGCCTTGCCCCCAGATTTATTCACTGGGTCTTTGTCTTTCTTGGCCGACTTTCCGGCGTCTTTCTTCTTCTTGTCGTCCTTGGGAGGCTATAAGGAAAGGGGGAACGCCAAGTCATAAGGCCACTCTATGCTCCCTCAACTACTGCGTCCCCCATCCCCACCCAAACTCCACCATCGAAGCACATGGGTGAAGCAATGTGGCCGCCTGTCTTGAAAGCCAATCCCATAATTCACAAGCCCTCCCGTCCGCTGTTCCCTCAACTGAGCCTGAGCACTAACCCGGCTTCCAGAACCCTAAGGTCTTTACAACCCTGAAGCTTACCATCACGAAGCTCGAAGAGGAGCTACAACTGCAGCCTAGCTAAGATGTCGGACAGAAAGGAAGCGCGGCTCACCAACAGGCCCAGAAACCTCCACACGCAGTGAATGCTTCCGGGGCAATGGGCGGAGCCACGTGGAAGACGTTCTAAGAATTGATCGCGGATTTCCTAGAATCTTGAAAGGAGCGCATTAAAATTCCCAAGTTGTTGTTGTTGTTCAGTGTCGTCAAGTCGGTTCCCACCCATAGCGATCCTGTACAGGATTTTCAAGGCTGTAAGTCTTTACGGGAGCAGAAAGCCTCGTCCGCGGAGCGGCTGGTAGTTTCGAACAGCTGACCTTAAGGTTCGCAGCCCGATTCGCAACCAAAATTCCCAAGTAATTCACTGTAAAAATTGCCCCATGGTATCCACTCATGTTGATGGGCTTTATGGCTAGGTTTGAAGTGGTCACATGTTGGCATTTTCTGCCACTAACAACAAGGAAGGTAAAAACAAAATACAACAGATTCAGAAATTGACCAAATAGTGCCGCTCAAAGTGCGCAAGCGCCTCAGACACCAAAACCCCACACCTCCTCCACCCCGCACTGGGGCCGGAAGGAGAAACCAAGAAAGGAGCTGTCGGGGGGCGGGTCCTGCCGACTGCACTTCCGGGGCGGGGCTGTCAGGAAGGGGCGGAACCTGAGTTCTGGGGCAGTGGCAGCAGCAGCGATGGCGATTTTTAGTGTATATGTGGTGAACAAAGCTGGTGGCTTGATATACCAGCTGGACAGTTACGCACCACGGGCAGAGGCTGAGAAAACGTTCAGTTACCCGCTTGATCTACTGCTCAAATTACACGACGAGCGCGTACTGGTTGCCTTCGGCCAGCGCGATGGCATCCGGGGTGAGCTACTACACTCGGGCTCGAGGGGGCGGAACCCAGGGCTGCTGTGCTTTTGCGGCTTGAGGAAAAAGACCGGGTTCTTCTCCCTTCGCGGAATCCTCTTTGGGGCTTCGATAACCTTAACTGTTATCTATGCAGTGGGTCACGCAGTGCTGGCTATCAATGGGATGGACGTGAACGGGAAGTACACGGGCGATGGGAAGGAGGTGTTGGAGTACCTTGGCAACCCTGCTAATTACCCGGTGTCCATTCGATTCGGCCGACCCCGCCTCACCTCCAATGAAAAGCTCATGCTGGCCTCCATGTTCCACTCGTAAGTCCCCAGCCCTGCTGGCCTTTATTTGTCCCCTGGATTGACTGCACTTGTGTTTCTGCAGGCAAAAATCTCCTGAGCAGCAGGGCTTGCTTTTCTCTTGTTATTTTGTGCCCTTGAGTCGGTTCCGACACACAGCGATCCTGTATAGTGAGTTTGAACCAAGAACCTTGAGGTTAACTCCCCAGTGCTTATCCTACAGCATCACGTTTTCTACTTCTCTTAATTTGTTGTATTCTTGTGTTGTGAAAAGGAAAATAACTGATCCAGTACATCTAAGTTTTAGATTGTGGACTCTTGATTAAGCCCACTTCTCAGAATTTTGTTTCTTCATCCTTAAAGTAAGACAATTGAACTAAATGATCTTTAAAGATCTTTTTCTGATCTCCATTCTGGTATGAGATGTTGCACTGCAGTATGCGTGTTGTTGTTAAGTGCTATCGAGTTGGTTCCAACCCATAGCGACTCTGTATAGGGTTTCCAGGGAACTGCTGGTGATCTTGAATCACAAACTTAGCAGTTCAAACAACTTTGCAGTGCAGCTCATTAACCCACAGAGCCACACCAGGACTCTGCAATATGCATTGTTGTTGTTGTTAAGTGCCTTTGAGTCGATTTCTACCCATAGCGACCCTGTATAGGGTTTCCAAGGAGCAGCTGGTGAGCTTGAACCACCAACTTTACAGTTCAAACGACTTTGCAGTCTGACACATCAGTTCACAGCACCACACCAGCTGCATAAGTAAGCATGGCGCATATTCCCAGGGTGTTCATTTTGCCCAAAGTTTTTAATGGAGAACGTTTTTGTAGCAGAGTATGTAATACGAAACATACAGAATTCAAATGAGTTTTCAAGAAATGCGATACTGCTGCCAGATGTTTCCTTTACTTCTCTAGACTGTGGGTGCCACAGTGGGAAAGTTTGAAAAGCATTCCTCCCTGACAGCAGGGTGTGTACCCAGTACCCAACATTGCCTCCTTTACATACAGGCTCTTTGCCATCGGTTCCCAGCTGTCTCCTGAACAGGGCAGCTCAGGCATTGAGATGTTGGAGACAGACACATTCAAACTGCACTGCTTCCAGACACTGACAGGTATGCATCTCCTCATAGTCCACAAGGATGCAGTGGGCAGGTTGGAGAAAGGGATGGGCCAAAGACAGATTTGGTAAGGAGACGGGGAGGAGTGTCAGCTTTTCCTGGGGCGACTGCACAGACACATAGTTGTTTTATAACTCCAAGGCAAGTATTTATTCTGAAGTCATTTTGTCCACATCCCCCAGCATGTGCAGCCCTGGTGATTGTCTATTCAGATGCAATTCACCTTCATGTTTTCATTTTGGAATGTATGCTGCTCCAAAGTGAAATCTGAAAGCTAAATGGAAAATGACCTTTGGATCATGGGTGTTTTTGCTTTAGTCCCTTAATGCAGATAATTGAAAACTGCCTGAGTTTATCCCCTGTCTGTCACTGTTTCTGCTGAGAGCCCCTAAAAAAATAACCCAACTTGCTGGCATCAGCAATTCTGTTAGTCTGTATAATCTTTACGGAAACAGAACAGCAGGCCCTTTGTTAGTGTCACTGAGTCACTGAGTATGTTCTGTTGACCTTTAGCTTAGTAGATGTGCACAAGCCATTTGTGTCACCTAAGAGTGTCTGCAAAGTGACAGAGCTAGAACTAAAAGTCCGTTCTCAGTCAGCTGGCTGAGAAGTCACTTCAGGTCTGTGGTCTCAGCTGTAGAGATCCAGTAGTATTTCTGTATGGAAAATGAAATGGGCTTCTGAAAGTGCTCTCCAAGTAAGTACAGTATGTCATTATTTGCTGCATTCTCTACCTTTTGTAACCATCCTGTGCCTCTCCAGGGATCAAGTTTGTGGTGCTGGCGGATCCTAGACAAGCTGGAATCGATTCTCTTCTTCGAAAGATTTATGAGATATACTCAGACTATGCCCTCAAGAATCCATTCTACTCCCTGGAAATGCCCATCAGGTAGTTCCACTCCCCTGATCCTGACCAGTGCATCCTTGACCCTCCGCCAACCTCTGGGTGCCCTTCCCCATGTCGTTTTAGAAGTATTGATTAAGTAAAAGGTAAAGTGATCTTTATATATGTTGTTAGGCGTCATTAAGGTGGTTCCAACTCACAGCAACCCTGTATAGGGTTTCCGAGGTTATAAATCTTTGTGGGAGCAGAAACCTCATCTTTCTCCCATGGAACAGCTAGTGGGCTCAATCCACTGACCTTGTGGTTCAATTCAGTGCTACTTGTCCTTTGGAGCCACTGTATTCCCCTTAATATACATAGATGACCAGTGTTTTTCCATGGGGTTCATGTCCATTTTCAGGCAGAGTTTTCATTGGCCTTGCTTCTGCACCCAAAATGTGGAAAGAGCTTCAGACCTCAGACTATTTTCTTATTTTTACATCCTGGTTTAGGTGTGAGCTGTTTGACCAGAATCTGAAGCTAGCCCTGGAGGTTGCAGAAAAGGCTGGAACTTTTGGACCTGGGTCATAGACTGAGCTTACATCAGATCCCAAAGTTCTGATAGTCTATTATTCTCACTTCACTGGAGCTCCCGACAGTCTTGTTCGTGCACATGAAAATGTGTGGCTGCTGAGTGATAACATGAACTTATTCCTGAGCCTTAATCCCATGCTTTCTTCTGTCATGTGTATATTATGGTTCTACTTCCCAACTCTGTACAGATTTATTTATGGAGGAGGTAGGCCCCTGAATGCTGTAATAAACATTCTTTTGACATCAGTGTTCGCTATCCTAATTGGTGATTTGGGGGAAAGGCACTGGAGGAAAGACAGATCTTCTAAGGAAATTCTGGGAAAATAAGATATGTTCTGATAGAAAACAAAACAAATTTGTGTTAACTAAATGAGTGAACATAGTATTCTTGAAACTGAGCCCTGAATCTAGTCTCAGAATTGCTGCTGACCTGCTGGGGTGGGGATGATATTAACAGAACACTTATCAAGTGCTTTCAACTAGGCTTTCTTGCTCTCACTTAACGCTAACCCTAACTCCAAGGTACATTCTATTATAGGTGAGAGCTGTTCGAATGGAACATGGGAACACTGGATGGTTTACAATTAAGAAAGGTGTACGACAGGGTTGTATTCTTTCACCATACTTATTCAACCTGTATGCTGAGCAAATAATCTGAGAAGCTGGGTTATATGAAGAAAAACGTGGCATCAGGATTGGACGAAGACTCATTAACAACCTGTGATATGCAGCAACCTTGCTTGCTGAAAGTGAAGAGGACTTAAAATATTTACTGATGAAGATCAAAGACCACAGCCTTCAGTATGGATTACATCTCAGTGTAAAGAAAACAAAAGTCCTTACCACTGGACCAATAACATTCTTATCAACGGAGAAAAGACAGAAGTTGTCAAGGACTTCATTCTTCTTAGATCAAGTATCAACACTCAGGGAAGCAGCAGTCAAGAAATCAAATGACATATTGCATTAAGCAAATCTGTTGCACAAGACCTTTTTAAAAGTGTTGAAAAGCAAAGTTGTCAGCTTGAGGACTAAGGTGCGCCTGACCCAAGCCATGATATTTTCAATAACCTCATATGCATGTGAAAGTTGGACAGTAAATAAGGAAGACCATAGAATCTGGTGTTGAAGGAGAATATTGAAAGTTGGGCTGCCCATAGAACCAACAGATCTGTGTTGGAAGAAGTGCAGCCAGAGTGCTCCTCGGAGGCCAAGATGGCCAAACTTCGTCTCTCCTACTTCAGACTTATTGTCAGGAGGGACCAGTCACTGGAGAAGGATATCATGTTTGGTAAAGTGGAGGGAGGGTCAGAGAAAAAGAGGAAGACCCCCAATGAGATGGATTGGCCAAGTGGCAGCATCGATGGACTCAAGCGTGGCAACAGTAGTGAGGTTGGCCCAGGATCGGGCAGTGTTTCATTCTGTTGAGCATAAGGTCGCTATGAGTGGGCACCGACTCAATGGCACCTAACAACAACAACGAACTCAGAGTCTTAGAGCTAGTTGCTGACAGTCTGAATTTGAACCCAGCCTTCCTGACTACATTATCAGTGAATCACTGGTATACTGCCTCCCTCTGTCAGGTTATTTGCCTGGAAATCCAACCAAAAAGCAAACAAAACACAAACCCACTGCCATCAAGTTGAGTCTAACTCTTAGCAATCCTATAGGACAGAGTGGAACTGCAAAGCAGCTGGTGGACTTGAACTGCTGACTTTGTGGCTAGTAGCCCAACACTTAACCCACTATACTAGTAGGGCTCTTGCCTGAAAGAAACCCAGTCGCTTATGAAAATGACTATTGAACTCTACTGTGTTAGAATGATGGCAGAGGAGGCATGAGCTTAGAGGAGGAATACAGGAGTCTACACCTCAGCTTTCCTAGTCCCGGAAAATGAAGTTTCTTTTGTGGTGGAAAAAGCAGGTACCAACTATTTTCCAAAGAAAGTTTCTGACTTCTAGTAGCTCTTTCTAAAAGGAGTCACTGACAGTATTTAGTATCAAATCTAGTTTTTAATTTTCTAGAATAATTCTTCTGCCCTTCCACCCATACCCTCCTCCTATACCGGGATATCAGTGGGAGTGCTGACCTCCCCTACCCTGGAGTCTGAGGTATTGGCAAAAGCAGTTGCCCACTGCTGAGAAGCTTAGGACAGAAGTCATAAACCATTAGTGCCCTGCAGCTGCAGAAGCAGCCACACCTGAGGAAGGTGAGATGGGACGGGGACTATGTAGGGCCTGGGAGGGGGAAAAGGGTATAAGACTCCTCTTGAGATGCCCTGATTGGAAACAGGAAATATGAATTAATGGAGTCCAGGAGCAAAAGGTATCTTTAAATAGAGCATAGGGTGGGGAGCTGGGACCTCATTAGCTTCTGATCATTTCGAGTGTCACCAGGACGAGGGAAGGAACAGGAAAGGGAAGTCAAAGGTTCACTGCCAGCCAGAGCAGCTCTCCACACCCAGCACCTTCCTGGAAAGGCCAAAGATAGAAGCCCCAGAGCCTGCATCCTCTTCACTCCTCCTTCTTGGGCACTCTGCCCATCTTGGTGCGGATGTTTCGTAGTAGGAAGAAGACAGCTGTGCTGGCTGCACAGATCACTTCCGCCACCCAGAAGGCTGTGCTCCAACTGTAGTGCTTGGCAATGGTGCTGAAGGGCAACCCAGCCAGAAAGCCGCCCACTGTCAGGAAGGAAGGGAAAGCCTGAGCCTTTGGTAAGGACAGAACCAGTGGGGCCTATTCCAGCCTCTTGCTGGCCTGTGTGCAAGGCAAAAGTGGGAGCTCAGAGGAGACTGGCATTTACAGGCTATGACTTACCATTGGCCATGAGTCCCACAATGGCATGGGAGGTGCCACACAGGTTGGGAGGGGCACTCTCGTTGGCTATCACTCCAAACAAGGCAATGGGACCATACGAGGAGAAACCAAACACAGCTCCCAACACCAGGATCCAGAGCTACAAGAGTAGTGCAGGCTGGCTTTAAAGTCTGACAAGTCTGCCTACCCACCCCTGCCAAAGGAGAGAATGCCTGGTCCCCATGGACAACTAGCAGGAAAGGCATGGTAAATGACCCCCACTCCAACCCAAGGGCCTACACAAGTAGGTAAAAGAGGTACAGTCATCTCACAGAGTTAGATGCTGTTTGTTCCCAGAATTCATGCAGGCTGCCTTGGCTAGGAACAAGGCAGAGGGAATAGGACAAAGGGAGCACACCAGGAGAGAGACCTGGGATAAAGATCAAGCACCTCGTGCTCTGTAAAGCCTGTAAGTTCCGCGAGAGGGTGCAGAGCCGGAGTCCAGAAAGCAACATCCTAGAGGAGCATGGGGAAGAGAAGACCAGGCCCAGAATGGAGGAGGAGAAGCAGTTTACAGAGGAGAGGCACTAAGGCACGAAGAGAACCAGAGGGAAATCTGAGCAGCAGAGAAAGGGCGGGCCCACACCAGGAAGGAGTCCAGGGAGAGGGAAGAGGAGAGCCAGTGGTGGTCTTTGCTTTCTCTCTGTGTGCCCTGCCCTGGGCCAGCCCTCCTCGTTTACCTGGTGGGAGTCACTGGTCACAGTTACCCGGAAGAGGTACATGGACACAGTCATGCCAGCCATCATGGATAGCAGCAACCCATGGCGAGGGTTCCCATAGATGGACAGCCCCACCTGTGGATCCAGTCCAGGTATGTCAGGCCCAAGGAGGCGGGCACAGAGCCCCACTCCTGGACTCTGACACACCGGGCCTCTGCTGACAGGTCTTTGGCAATTCACCCCAGTTGTTGGTCTGGGGAAGCTCTGGGAGGCCCTGGAACCTGTTCATTATATTCTGAGGCCAAACTCCACAAGATCCCATCCTCCACCTTGGGGCAGGCTTGGAACACGTGCTGGGTAGCTGCTCCTAGTCCCTCCCCTATCCCGGTTTCCCTGGAGAAGTGAAAGAGCCTACAACGAGGCCGAGAGAAATTTGGCCTCTCCTTGACATTAGTTAAAACCCTTCCCCTCAAAAGCCCTTTCATTTACATCCCTAGGAAAGGGAAGAGTAACCTAAAATCATTGTGCCACCTCATCTAACCTCAACCAGCATATGCCAACCTGCCCGTGTCTCGGGGCTGCCACCTCTCTGGTGCCTCCCCTAGTCCTTCTGGGAAGATTGAAAGGGCTGCTCCGCCTCCCTGTCCCTTCTGCCCACTCACCTTTGCCATAGCCCGGTCTGACAGATAACCAGCTGCGATGCTGCCTACAAGGCCTCCAACCTCCAGAGCACTCATGTAGGAACTACCTTTAGTGGGGAGTTAAGGTGGGAAGAAGGGGAAGGGAAGAGGTGTTACATATTGGGGTTATCCCAGATTGGCTTAAACCCAGAGAGGTACAAGGCTCCCAAAGGTGACCAACCATAGCTGCCTGCATTGAATCCAGCCTGGGAATGAAAGAGGGCCTAGGGAAGCAGGGCCCTGATTTCCCTTCCTCTGCATTGGCTCCTGCTCCCAATATCTACCCTTGTCTTAGCACTCATCTTACCCACAAGGGCTGACTGTCCTTTCTCCTGGATCAGGAAGAACTGACCCCAGTCGGTACAGCAGGTCTTCACCCCAAACACCACAAGGTAGCCAGTAGAAAGTACCCACAGGTAGGGGGACAGCAGCAGCTCCTGTAGGGTGCTATCATCCTTCAAGGAGCCTAGAGGTGAGAGGTCAGCCCTCAGGTACTGCTTCCTGCTGCCCTGCCTCCACCTGAGCCCCCACCATTCATTAACTAGCCAGAGTGACAGACTTCATCAGAACAGCAGGGATCAGCATGAAGGGTCTTTCCTCCATCCCACTGTCCCCTCCCTCCCTGCAAGCTTCAACCAATGAAAGAGAAACTGAGGACCAGGCCAGATGTAGAAGCCCCACCAGGCCACTTAAGATACTCTCCAGGACAGGAAAGTCTGACTCAGCTGTGAGACAGGACCAGGACATAACAGGGCTCATAGCATTTGGTGGCTCTGCCACTTGTCTGCTCTTTGGCAGTCTTTTGGGATGGAGTTCTACTTATACCCAGCCCCATTATCACTCCTCCTCATCTATCCATTAGATAGCATGAGGCCAGACATAGAGCCAGTCCTCAACAAAAATCTATGACGACTGACCAATGACAGTATCCTAGTGGTCAGCCTGGGAGGAGGATGCTCACCCTTCTTGCCCTTGGAGGGGGTGGGGTCCAGGTTGCGGAGTCCAACATCAGCAGGTTCATTGTGGATGAACAGGAGACAGAAGAAGGAGACAACCACACACAGAGCCCCAGACAGGGCCAGCGTGCTACGCCAGCTGTAGCTCTGGGCTAGGACAGTTGCCAGGATTGGGCCCAGCCCTCCAGCCAGGTTCATGCTGGTTGACAAGATGGCCCACCAAGTGCCAAACTGAGATGGCTCAAACCACTGTGGGGCAGAGGGAGACAGAGTAGATGCCCAGTCTATAGCTTATGTTGAGGGTGGGGTCAGGTGGAGCACACCCAGAGATCACATTACAGGGCAAGACCAAGTCCCTCATCTGCCACCTGATCCCACTATTTGCAGGCTCCTAAAATATCTGGACCAGCAATAGAAGCTGGACTGAAACTCCAAGAAACTTGCTATGGGTTGGGGGTGAAGGTGGTGGGTAAACAAGAGCGTGCCCACATGCTCTTTAGGCATTCCCCATGCCAATCTAAACAGACTCTTTGGAAGCAGACACACACTCACCTTCCGCAAGATCTTCCCACATGGGGGCCAGCCCAACCCCTGTGCCAGACCATTGAGGAACCAGAGTACAGCAAAGACTGGCACTGTGGAGCTCCAGGAAAAAATGATGTTGACCAGACCAACCAACAGCAGCCCAGAGGAGAAGAGCCAGCGAGCGCTCATCTGGTCAGACAACACCCCACTCACAAACTTGCTGATGGCATACGCTGCAGACTGGCTGCTGGTGATGAGCCCTGCAGGGGAGGGGAGGAGGGAGTAGGACACCTGGGGGGTTAGGGCAGAGGGCACAGAAGGGGTGGAGGAAGGCATGGGGTCAGGTGTATAGAGGTGTCCAGCAGGGTGATACAGGTTCCTTCCAAAAGGAACAAGAGCCTGTGCTAGACTCCTGACATTCATTCATGGGTCCCATCCCCTCTACCTGCCACCACAGCACTAGCCTTAGGCTGACCCATGACTTTTCAGCCTCTTGAAGAGTACCAGCTGCAGGTGTCAGGGGACCAGAAGGGAGCAGGACAGGTCAGCTTCCCTCTCCTGGGATACATATATGCCTAATATCCCACCTCACTCTGGATGCCAACCCAGGGCTTCTAGCAATTCTATTGTTCCACCTCCAAACAGGGGTGAAGGGCTCAGGATTGGAGCCAGGAACCTCGTTCCTCCTGAAGAGTAGCCTGTCAGATACATCAAGTCATGGTTCCAATTCTCCAATGCCCACCCAGTGCCTACAATGTCGGTGGCTGGCACTCACCTTGCAACCTTAGCATGCACCCACACAGGTGTGGAAACCAGATGCTCAGAATGCCCTAAACACACCCAGAATAAAAGTACCTCTGAGGGCACATGCAGGTCATACACACACACACACATCAGATAAGCAGCTATCCTCAGTCATGCATAGATAACACTCACAGACCTTCCTCAGATACATGAAGGTGAATCACAAAACCTCTGAACTCAGCACATGTCACTGCTATGCACAGATAGTCACATATACTATGTATCTGTATGCACCACAGCATCACACCCAATGCATCCTGTATGTTCAGTGTCCCCAAGCCACCACCATACCCTTTTGTTTAGGGCTCTCACCTAAGTCATCTTTGTCCAGAGAGATCTCCTCCACCAATGAGGGCATGACAAAGGAGAAGGTCTTACGGTTGAAGTAGTACAAGCTGTAGCCACCAAACATGGCTGAGAAGATCACAGTGCGATAGTAGCCATATCCCTGGGCCGCCATGGTGGGAGAAAGCAGGGCCTACAGGCCAGGACGCAGAGCCTCTGACCACAGCCCTTGCTTTCTGGCTCTCTCAATGCCAGGATCTGCTGAATAAGGTCTTTTCCACTCCCTCCTCCACTCAGCCTCCCTGGCTCCCTTTATAGCCACCTTCTGGACAATCATTAAGCCTGGGGCGGCTCCTAGGGAACCCAGTGTCCTGAGGGAGAAAAGAAAACAGATTACTGACAGCCAAACTGTGGGGGCTGGAAGGGTCCCAGAGGCAGGCGGTGCCTGTGAGCCAAGTTAGCACGCTGTGCCCAGGATTTCCATGTCCACCTGGCTGTAAAACCAGCTGTGATTAAAGACTCAACTCAATGACTTTTGTTTGCCAGGAGCCCAAGAGGGGCAGGTCAGGGAGAGTGGAGTTGCCCTCTCCATTTCTGTCACCTCAGTTTCTGTACCTTCTCATTGATTCAACAAAGGCATATTGAGAGCTTACTGCAGAATGTGCTAGGTTACTGTCTACACACACACACACACACACACACATTCAATCAGACATAAAGACCTAACAGCCCTACTTCCAGCCCTGTAACTCCCAATGCTTAGCACATAATGGGGTGTAATTAGCGCTTCGTTATTATAATTGCAGAATTAAAAGCAACGGGAAACCCCCCTAACTCTGGCCCCACAGTACCACACTTAAAGTCCCACTCAGGGCTAAGACCATGATGATGCCATTCTGAGTTGCCTCTGGTCCTCACTATCCTACGATGTCCGTGCGGGTTCCCTGCATGGCTGCCTGGGGAACGCAGGGTCTGATGCTCAAGCTGAGGGATAGTGGCAGGGGCGCAACCACAGGGACAGAGCGACCCGGCAACGGGAGGGTGCAATGATTGACTTCAAGGCCCCGGTAGCTTGCCCTCATCTTTTCCGCTCGGTTTTGAAAGCAACTGTAGCAGAAGGCGGAGACGCGAGTTGCAGAAACCCGCGCGCAGTCTCCCCAGAGGCCCCGCTCCGGTCAGCCAAGCGGCTCAGCTCAGCCTGCCAGGCAAGGAAAGGCCGCGAGAAGGGGGAGGAGGTACAGAGACGGCGGTTCTCGGCACCTACCCAGCCCGTGCGTCCTCAAGCTACCCAGGACACCCGCCTCTGAGGCTGGGGATAGACGGGGGCCTGGGGTACAAGGACTGGAGAAACCGTAGACAGACGGCAGGACAACTGCGATAGAAAGCAAAAGCGTGTGCGGGCAACTGGCAACGCTTCGGTGGCCCCCAGACCCAGGAATAAACCCCCTACCCGGGAAGGGGCAGCTGTAGAAACAGCTCCGGATATTCCGGAAGTTGGGGTTCGCGGACAGAGGCTTCCACAGACCTGAGGCTCCCACAGACCTGAGGCTCCCTTTCCAACCCCGCCCCCAAGAGATGCCCCACCTCCGCATACCGCCCCTACCTGAACAGAGGCGGGAGCCGTACAAGAATGGGGCGGGGCGAGGCGGAGCCGCTGGCGCATGCGCCGTGCGTGGAGGCGGGGACTCCGTGTGTACCTTCCAGCCCTTGAGAGCCCAGTCCACCCCCAGGGGTTAGGTTTAAACCGCGGGTCGCCTTAGTCCAAGGCCGAAAATAGCGCCCCTTAGGGGCTGGGACTCTTGTGCTCTTTGCTTAACCGATTGCAGTCAACAAACCTTTTTATTTACTGAGTACTTCCCACTACCAAAAATGTGAAATACCAGAAATACCAAACCAAACTCACTGTCATCAAGTCGATTTTGACACATGGGATGCTAAGGTAATAAATATTGTTCCCGACTTGCTAGCAACCTGGGAAAGGTTCTGTGGGAAAATACGGTATTTTCTATAAGAAATTAATGCAGTCCAATAAGCCTAAATTAAATTTTAGCTAGTAGCCAGACTGTGTTGGGAGTTAGTATTAGGGACTTCTGCTGTGGCGCTGTAGGATCGGCACTGGACTGCGAACCACAAGGTCGCAATTTAAACTCACCAGCTGCCCTTCAGAAACTCTATACAGGGTCTCCATGAGTCAGAACCGACTCGACGGCATTTAACAACATTTAAAATCCAGGACCAAAGTAAATCTCATTAAATCCTAATCCCTGCCTCACTACATTCTAACTTTGTGACCTTGGGTAATATCTATGAAACCCAGTTTCTCTTATATGTTGCTGCTGTTAAGTGCCATGGAGTCGATTCATAGCGACCCTACACAGGGTTTCTGAGGGGCAGCTGGTGAGTGTGAACCTCTGAGACTTTGTCATTCAAACCTACCTTGAGGTGGAGTATTTGATGGTGCCACACCAGGACTCCTATGTAAGGGGGAGAATATTAATACCAGCCTTGGAGTTTTTAGGTTCACCGTGAAGACTCAATAAACTGTGTACCATATTACAAAACAATAAAAGGTTTAGATGAAATTTACTGAACAATCACTTTTGTAAATCCCATAGGAAAATTGCTGAAAGAACTTTAAGTGCACCAAAGTTGAGAACAAGGGTCTTTCAGGGTGGGAAGGTGAGATAAAATGAGACAGCAATGTGGTTGAAATTCATTAATTCAGCAGATAACTACTGAGCATGTCTAGTGTATCAGGCCCTGTGTGTTCAGTGTGGTAGACCAGGAACCAGGAATACGAATTTTCCCCAAATTAAAACAGGCTAAAAAATCCTTATTCTATCCAACAGACAAGGGATGCCATTTGGATTTGTTTCCCACTAATTATTATTGAGTATAGAAAGTGCATGAATTGTAAGTGTACAGCTCAAATAACTTCCCTCTCATTTTATTTTGGAAATTTTCAAACCTATAGAAAAGTTGCAAGAATATTTTTCACTTAGAAACTCAACAAATGTTAATATTTTGCTATGTTTACCTAATCTCTCTGTATTGTTATTGATGTTAAGTGCCAGCAATCATTCCAAGGAGCAGCTGGTGGGTTTGAACCAGCGACTTTGTGGTTAGCAGTCAAATGCTTATCCTACAGCCCCACACAGAACTCCTTCATTATGAAAGTCGAGGCCTGAATTTTTTCTGTGCCCAGTCTTGTGCCATCCCTATGATCAGTTCCAGATTGAACCACTGAGATGAGATCCATAAGGTTTTCATTGACTGATTTGAGGAAATAAATGACCAGCTTTTCATTCCTAACCCATCTTACTCTGGAAGCTCTCCTAAAACCTATTCAGCATCATGTTGTTTTTGTTAAGTGCCTTTGAGTTGGTTCCGACTCTAATGACCCTATTTTAGGGTTTCTGAGGAGTAGTTTGTGGGTTTGAACCTCTGACCTTGTGGTAAGCAGTCCAATACTTATCCTATAGCACCACACAAGGACTCTGCTCAATATCACAAGAACATGGAAACCTTAACTACAGACAGGGAGTGACTGTGCTTAAGGTAACAAGGAATCAAAACCAGGTCTCCCTAATTGTTGTTGTTGTTCAGTACCTTCGAGTCAATTCCGACCCATAATGAACCTGTACAGGGTTCCCAAGAAGCAGTAGGATAACAGTGCTTATCCTACAGTGCCAACCCAGGCTCCCTAATGAAAGGTGAGATTTCTACCACTGAGTTGTCATTGACCCCCATCTCTAATATAGTCTTGTTCTGTTGTTAAGTGCTGTCAAGTTGGTTCCAACTCATAGCAACCCTGTATAGGGTTTCAAGTAAACGGCTGGTGGGTTTGAACTGCTGACCTTGAAGTTAGCAGTTAACCCAATACTTACCACACCAGAACTCCTTCTAAAGTACAGTCTATATATTAAATATCTCCAATTTTTCCAAGATAACCTTTGTTATTGCTGTTAAATGCCATCGAATCAGTTCTGACTCATAGCAACCCTGTATAGGGTTTCTGAAGTTTTAAATCTTCAAGGGAGCAGAAAGACTCCTCTTTCTCCCATGGAGATACTCACAGAATCAAACTGCAGACTTTGTGGTTCACAGTCCGGTGTTTATCACATGGAACCACCATGCTCCCTCAAGATATCCTTTAGAACTTTTTTAAAAGTCAGAATCCAATCAATATTTATCCATCATTGTATTTAGTTATAACTTTTCAGTCTTTTACAATCCCTTTTTAAGGTGCCCTGGTGGTACAGTGGGTTAAGTGTTGTGTTAAAAGGTAACTACAAGATCAGCAGTTCAAACCCATCAACTGCTCTACAGGAGAACAATGAGGCTGTCTATACCTGTACAGATTTACAACCTCAGAAACCCTAACGAGCTATTCTACTCTTTTCTGTAAGGTCATTATGGATTGGAATCAACATAATGGCAGTTATTTTGGTTTGGGTTAATTCCTTTTTTTTTTTATGAAACAGGATGTAGACTCTATTAAGAAGCACGAAATTAATTGTTTTACTTTGAAATATACTTTTGGCAGGAGGGCTAAGGTCTGCCGTGGGAAGCAAAATCCCTCCAGTTCTGCCTAAATCAACCAGACCAGTGAGCATTCCCAAACACATAACTTGTAAGCTCATTTGTAGTGGACAGAGCAGGCAGGGAGTGAGAAGGCAAGTGTACTGTTCTTGCGGACTAGGAAGAACTCCCATGCACTTTCTCTCCAAGGCACTGTGCAGATCCACAGTGATATTGGGTTCGCTCTGCTTCTACAGGAAGTACTGAGGACCTGAAATTTTCTGGGATCTTTCCTTCACTTCACTACCTTTAGCAAGATTTCTTTCATGGTAACCTTTGTATTGTCTACCTGAATCAGGGAGAATCCATGAGCAGCATTTATCTGAGCAAATAGCAACTCTTTGGATGTCAGACCAGGAGAGGAATACTTTTCAACCAGGGCCAAGGTACTAAAGCCAAACTTATAAATAGGCTCATTGGAATCCAGTAGGGGAAAACTGTGTCCACCATACCATCGTCCTCAGCAATGTGCAGGCTGTAGGCACTGACGTTATCACTGAACATGAGCTCCCATCCTTCACTTGTATATTGCCAACAGGTGAGCCAAATCAAGTCCTGCACTCTGGTGCTGGACATGGTCACCATGGTCACTGGCAGCGGTCTGTCCTGGCTGCTATCCAAGTACAGAGGGCTCTTGCCATGTTGAAAGTGTTATTGAGCTGTAGAGGGCACTGTTCCAGGCATACAGATAATAGTGAGTGCTTCCTACAACTTGGAAGCTTTTCTCTGAGGGACTTTTTTTTTTTTTTTCTTCCAAATAGTGACTTTAACTCCTGGGCTGATTGTTTAGAATTTTTTTCTTTTCACGGAATATGTTTGCATTTGATTTGGTTTTGCATCTCTTTTCTAATCTTTGAGCTGTGTTCGAATGTCTTCTAAATACCGAATTCCTAACTTGATCTCATATCTACTGATTGGGCATATGCATAGCTCTGAGTTTTACCATTGCTACCCTGAATTTCTGACCCACTGTCTCCAGGCATTGAAGGAAGATGAATCTTCTTTAGGTCAACATCATGATCACTGAGAACCATTTCTCACATTCCCATGTCATCACTGGTCACATGTGACTGTTGAATATGAGCTAGAATGATAGTTGGATTATCCAAGAAGGCTATCCTTTCTGTGGGCTAATTTCTTTCAAAAGGCTATTTACTTCTCTTATATTGTTTCATAGGTTCACCTTCCTCCTGGTAATTACACATCTTTGTGTAATCTTCCTTTGGGTGTGGATTGAACTTGACTTACTTCTAGCCAACATAATATGGCAAAGGTGATGTGTTATTTCACTAGCTTAGTTGCATTGCATTATATAAGATACTATCTTGGTCCATGTCTTAAAAAGAGAGGATCTGCTGCTAGCCCTAAAAATGCTTCCACTGTGAGGACAGGGCAGGCCCTGGGACATGTTCCAGCTCTCTCTTCCGCCTCCCAGCACCTGCCCTGAGCTCTGCATTCCAGGGATTTTTTGAGACTAGGGCTCCTTGTGGCCCTCTCAGCTGCCATTTCCTCAGCTCGCCCTCATACTCCTGCTGCCCGCCTCCCATCAACAGCCAATCATCAGTCCTGTTGCCTCAAGCCACTCAGGTTAATTCCTTTTTTAAAAAAATCTTTCATGACTTGAATATTTTTCAAAGGTATAGGCCAGTTGTCTGTGGTGTATTCCACAATATGGATCAATAAGTGGTGACTGTATCACCATATGGAATACACGAGAGCCAAATTGACTACATCTGTGGAAAGAAACATTGGAGAAGCTCAATATCATCAGCCAAAACAAGGCCAGGGGCAGACTGGAACAAAGCATCAATTGCTCATATGCAAAATCAGGCTGAAGCTGATTTAAAAGTCCGTAAGAGCCAAAATATATCCCACCTGAAGGTAGAGACCATCTCAAGAACAGGTTTGAAGCATTGAACACTAGTGATCCAAGACCAGAAGAGTTGTGGGATAACACCCAAGAATATAATCCGTGAAGAAAGCAAAAGGTCATTAAAAAATAGGAAAGAAAGAAATGATAAAAATGGATGTTAGAAGAAACTCTGAAGCTAGCACTTGAGCACAGAGAAGCTAAAACTACTGAA